TCACTGATGGTGTCAAGTGTGACAGCGGTAGTGAGGTTGGCCCAGGATCGGACATTGTTTCGTTCTGCTGTGCATGGGGTCGCTATGAGTCGGTTCCGACTCGATGGCATCCAACAACAACAACAACAACAAAGGAATAAAAAATTCACTGAGACACATACCTCCCTCTACCCAGTTCCCCTATTGAAGTAACTGAACTCACATTCAAGCTGCAATTGACTGTCATAATTGTGAACTTCCCGAGTCAATCCAATGAAATACATGCGGAACAGCAATTCCAGTTCTAAAAGCTCCTTGTCGCTGAAGTTGCCCTTGGACCAGGGCCGTAGGTATACGATGGTGCCAGAGTTACTCTCCCAGTTATGAGTCTGCACCTCATCCAACCAACCAGAGCCTACTGTTTTTACCCAGGAATGGTTGTAATAAGATGTTATCTGCATAACATGGTAGGAGATGGGCTCCTTGAAGACTGTGGGTGACAAAAGTACAAATAGAATGAGGAGAAAAAAGGCATTAGGAGCAAGGTTGAATAAGAAAATAAAGGTGCCAAAGAGGGAGAACTTAACATATACAGAACTATCATAGTTATCTTTTCAGACATTTGTTAGCCCCAAGAACCAAAGTTCTATCAATAATCCCCCAGAAGAGCATAGAGACCTGGAGACAGGGAAACTCAGAATGGAATTGGTCTGGAACTCTCAGTCTCCAGATATAGCTTGCATCCAAGTATAGCATACAAACACACACACACACACACATTCACAGACCCTCTTGCAGCCAACTGGCCAGAGTTCTTACCATCTTCATTGTTACCACCTGGGAGAAGAACAGATAGCAATGGAAGTTGCAGGAACAGCATTTCATTTGCAGGTGTTGTTTCTTTCTCTCAGAAAAGTTGATCTTTGAGCTTTATTGACAAACTTACTCCCACAGTACCTCTATTATGACTTCCTTCTCCCACCAACAGACAAACCTCCCCTTTAGACAGTACCTTTAGGTACTGTCTGCAACAAAGAAAACCTACAACATCTAAAACTCCAAGCCTCCTACTCAGTTTTCTCTCCAGCTTTGGCTTTCCCTTTGTCTTCCAGCTTCTCTACTTTTCCATCCTGTTCTTAATTCAACTTAATTAAAATGGGATAAGTCTTATTTAGCACTGAAAATTTGCTTTACCTCTGGTGTCATTTTTGTCTTTCATACACTAAGAGGGTAAAACTAAATAGTTTCCCCGAACTCTACCTAATGCCTCATCTCCCTGCTACTATGTCCTCCACTTCTGCTTTTGAATGCTCCTTAACTATCCTTAACACCCTCCACCCACCCCATTTATAGCTCTGGCTTCTCACTGGTTCCTTTGTTTTCTTAGAATTTTCTATGCTAATCCTGTATAACAGTATAAACTACCATGAATTCTCCATTATTATTAGAGAAGAACCAACAGCCATCATAAAACCCTTTAAGAAAAAAAAAAAAAAAAAGCTTGATTTTCATTGATATATATTAATTCACCAAAAAGACACTTAGCATCTTCCTGGAACATAATATTTTCTACATTCATGAATATATAATTGTTCACCTTCCAATCACTTTATTCAAGGATCTTTATTGTACTAAGGAAGAAAAATATTTAGACCAGCAACTGTGATTTTTACTGTGCTGAGTTGTATTGTAGTATATGTTGTTGTGGTTTGGTGCCATCGAGTTGGTACCGATTCATAGCGACCCTATGCACAACAGAATGAAACACTACCTGGTCCTGCACCAATCTTATAATCATTGCTATGCCTGACCTCACTGCTGTTGCCACTATGCCAATCCATCTCACTGGGGTCTTCCTCTTTCTCTCTGACCCTCCACCTTCCTCTTTTTCTATGACCCTCCACCTTCCTCCTTTTGTCTGATTCTCCTTCTCCAGTGACTGGTCCCTCCTGACAATATGTCTGAAGTACAAGAGATGAAGTTTGGCCATCCTGGCCTCCAAAGAGTACTCTGACTGCACTTCTTCCAACACAGATCTGTTTGATCTTTTGGCAGCCCATGGCACCTTCAATATTCTCCTCCAACACCATAACTAAAAGCATCAACTCTTCTACAGTCTTCCTTATTCACTGTCCAGCTTTTGCATGCATATGAGGTTATTGAAAATACCATGGTTTGGGTCAGGCGCACCTTAGTCCTCAAACTGACATCTTTGCTCTTCAACACTTTAAAGAGGTCTTGTGCAGCAGGTTTGCCTAATGCAATACATGTGTCTTTTGGTCTCCTAATTGCTGCTTCCATGAGTGTTGATAGTTGATCTGAGCAAAATGAAATTTTTGATAATTTCAATATTCTCTCCATTTATATGGATGTTGCTGGTCCAGTAGTGAGGATTTTTGTTTTCTTTACATTGAGATGCAATCCATACCAAAGGCTGTAGTCTTTGATCTTCATCAGTAACTATTTCAAGTCCTCTTCACTTTCAGCAAGCAAGGTTGTATCATCTGCCTATCGCAGGTTACAAATTAGTCTTCCTTCAGTCTTTATGCCACATATCTTTTCATATAATCCAGCTTCTCGAATTATTTGCTCAGTTTACATGTTGAAGCACATGTTACATGAAGCACAATGAAAGAATATAATCCTGGTGTACACCTTTCCTAGTTTTAAACCATTCGTTGTTCCCTTGTTCTAGTCGAACAACTGCCTTTTGGTCTATATATAGGTTCTTCATGAACACAATTAAGTGTTATGGAATAGTTATTCTCCTCAATGTTGTCCATAACTTGTCATAATCCACACAACTGACAGCCTTTGTGCAGTCAACAAAGCACAGGTAAAAATCTTTCTTGTATTCTCTGCTTTCAGCCAAGATCCATTTGGCGTCAGCAATGATGTCCCTCAGTCCACAACCTCTTCTGAATCCAGCTTGAACCTATAGAAGCTCTCTGCCAGTGTATGGTTGTTGCCATGTTTATATTATCTTTAATAAAAGTTTACTCGCATGAGGTATCAATGGTATTGTCTGACGATTTCCACATTCCGTTGGGTCACCTCCCTTCAGAATGGGCACAAATACAGATCTCTTCCAATCAGTTGACCAGGTAGTTGGCTTCCAAATTTCTTAGCATAGATGAGTGACTGCCTCCAG